TCTTTGTTTTGGTACTCTGGTTTTCAAATTGACTTGAGACCTATGATACAGGGATAGTGCATAGACACTATGTATCCTATAGCATTAGCACTTTTGAAATATGTTTAATGGTATGTTTTAACAATCTATACTATAAAAACGTCTATACATGTCAGAAATTTAATAAAATTTGGCAAGACAAAGTCTTGAGAAATGACCTTGAACTCAAAAAAGCCAGATATAAAAGCACAAGACAAGCATATTAAATGGGATACCTGTACCCATGCCTGTGTGACTGTGTCCATGTCCATATCTGTATCTGGGAATCATAGGTTAAAACACTTGAATATACTAACTGCCTTTGGGTTGCACATTTTTGGAGTTTGAATACCCCTGAAAATATCCATCCATTCTTAGGGATGGCAATACATGCCTGAAAATTTGCTGATCTGAAAAAAAAAATACATGCCTGAAAACTTGTACCTCATGTATCTATTTAGAGAAAATAATGCTGTTCTTGTTTTGGAAGTTAATGGTTCAACTGCTTTCTGTTTTTACTCAGGTAAAAGTTGCAGATAGAACTGCTGTTGTTACAGCAAATGCGGAAACAGTGGTTGTGAAGCCATCTGGACTTCAGAAAGTTATTGATGCTGAAACTGGTAACCACATATATTATTGTAGCCTGATTTCTTAAACTGATTCCAATCTTCATCTATTTGCTGATATGGGTTCTCATAAATGTGCTTCAAAATGTCATCAATCTGGCCTGTCCAGATGTTGGCCATCCTTTAGATATACTGCAACCAATGAGCCAAAATTCATACTATTTTGGAAATACTACTTGTAGTATCTTACCTTCAAAAAAATATTAGTAAAAGGGTGGTTTCCTTCCAAAATCAAGAGATTATGAAAGTGTGAACAAAAAGATGCATATACCATGTTCAGCCAAGATGGTCACTGTTGGCCAAATTTGGGAATACTGGATCAATTACCGGTTCTGTAACCCTATTAGAAATCCTTACAACTGGGAATGAGGACTGCACATTTTGTCTATGATAATTTTTCCTTTAGGACCAAATCGGTTGATGTTACTGCTCTTTGCTTGGCATTCTTCAGACAAAGGATGGGTAATTACCATTTTCTTGATTTATTTTTAATGCAGCAAAATACCCTCAGGGGCGATCATTTATAAGGCCATCAGGTACAGAGGATGTCATACGTGTATATGCAGAGGCATCCACACAGGAAGCAGCAGAGAACCTTGCCAAATCTGTAGCTCAGCACGTGGATCAATTCCTGGGGTTGGGCAGCAACTAACAATTTTGTTTGACTAAATTTCATTGGAGACTGTCCTCTTACAAAATGAAAGCAGCCATTTCTATTGGTAGAGTTTTATTTCCAGATAGAATGCTTATATTTTCTTTCTCTGAAATTTGGTTTACATGAAAACAAAAACCAAGTCTATTTATAATATATGAGTTTCTTTTACAGTTTCCGTGCGGCATTTAAAACTATTTTTTTCCCAGCAGAGTGTCATCTTTTTCCTTACCAGTTGGGAATTTGGTTGATAAAAAAGAAGATTAGGTGCTAGAAAGAGTGAGGTTGTTGCTGATTCCATGAAACTAGGATGAGGCTTGACTAGGTTGATGCTGTATTAATTATTATTGTTTTACTATTATTACATATATTGACATGACAGAATTTAGGAATGGCAATGGTTGGGTTTGGGCACCATACTTTCTCATCCCTGTTCCCCAATTTCTAAGCGAACTCTCCATCCCTGTCCCGAGTCTTTGTCCAGGAGAAAAATGAATCTCCATCCTCGATTGGGACAGGTTCTCCATTAGGGACTTGAATCCCTAAATTATTATTATTTAATTAAAGCATGCTTTGGGAAAATGATTTACTTAAAAAAAGTAWCAATTCATTTATCTAAACTGGTTTGACACTTAATTATCATCATTAATCACTAAAATAACATAGAAATTGAAATTTGAGGAACATATGTAATGGCATTATTGTGATTATACAGAATTATTTTCAAAATTTGTTCTAACAGGTTCCTTACCAGGGTTGCAACTTCACTCCTTAATCCTTATCCTCACCCTTGTTCTTAATTGGATATTCTAATTATTCCTCGTCCTTGTCTCATCCTCACCAGAGCAGTCCTCATCTCTGACTTGATCAGGTTAAGGAGGCCAAATACCTAGTTAACTTTAAGTTGACAAAGTTAATTTAATTAGATTAATTAATTTAAATGAAATGTAAAAATTAAAATAACAAATAAAATATAAAGTATTGCATTTTCCAAACAAAATRTAWTTAAAATTTAAAAAGATTATTATGAATAGATCATGTATAGAGCCAAGCCCTCTTTTAACACAGAAAATAGAGTTTGTAGATTTACCAAGATATAGCTTTTAATAAAAAACTAGGGAGAAATTGAGAGGGGGATTTTAATGGAGCTCATCTTCTTCGGATTGCTTCACCACTCTCAAACAGTCAACCTACGCGCAAACCAAAGCTTGCAATAATGGAAATGTGAGCCTGTTGTCCTCTAAGCATAGTTTTCAAAACTGGATCGGATCGGATGGTTGGACTGGAAAAA